TTAAAAATATAGATATAAATATATGTGATCTAAATTAGCATTTAACACTGGCAGAGTTTGCATATACTGTAATTATAGGTAATCCTCAACTTACAACAGTTCATTTAGTGATTGTTCAAAGTTACAACAGCATTAAAAAAGTGACATAACTATTTTTCAGTTACAACCTTTGCAGCATCTCCATGATCATGTGATTAAAATTCAGGTGCTTGGCAACTGATTCATACTTAGGACTGTTGCTGTGTCTCAAGGTCATGTGATCACCTGACAAGCAAAGTCAATGGGAACTTTTGCGAACTTCTGACAAGCAGTCAATGGGAAGCCAGATTCATTTAATAACTGGCTTACTAATTTATCAATTACAGTGATTCAGTGAATGTCCCACTTAACAACAGAAATTTCTGGTTCTATTGTGGTCATAAGTCAAGGACTACCTATAAAAAGAAAACAATCTTTGGAAATATGTGCCATTAATAATTTGACTTCCACCTCTCAAAAAAGATAATTTGACCACATCTATAGAATCATTGCAAGGGGTAGAAGAGATGATAAGAGATCATCTAAATCAGTGATGACTAACCTTTTCCGGGCTGAGTGCCCAAAGCATGCCCCCCAACCCCCCAAAATGCAATGAACGTGTGCCCCCAGCACATGCATCCCCTGCACATGCATGCGTGCCCTCATGCATGCATGTGCCTCCCCCCCATGCATGCATGAGCTTTGCCCCGTGCATGTGCGACAGAGACCTGACAACCAGCTGGAGCTGAACTAAGGCAATGGCTCACATGCTCAAAGAGATATGCCATAGGTTCACCATCATGGATCCACACTAATCCAACTTCCAGCAGTCACAAGAAATTATCGAGCATCATTTTGAAGTCTTTCACTGGAGGAGATTCCATGAGGCTCTCTGTTCTATTATTAAACAGCTTGCTTATTTATTTATTTATTTATTTAGTTAGTTACTTACTTACTTACATTTATTTATTTTAAATCTTTACATAGTCGCCAATCTTCCAATCAACCCTGAGCAGTTTCCAAACCAATTATACCCAATCTGCTACCATTTATCCATATTTCCATATCCGTATTTATTCAGTGTAGAAGAAAATGGCTATGAAAGCACAGAAAGGCGGGGGGGGGGGAGGTTGGAATCCTCCTTGCCACCTCTCCATTACTAGGAGAATTGAAGAATTGAAGAGAGAGATCCATGACTTCAAATTCTCTTTGGCACTTGATAGTGGTAGTGTTGTTGTTCTTATTGTTGTAATCCTAATAAATTGGACAACTCAGAAAAATCTCTGTGGGAAATTCATTTATTTGGTTAAAATATGATCTTTATTTAGTTTTGATTTATTGAGGCCAACCATAATGTGTCAATTGTAGTGTATTGCATATCATGTTATATGAACCCCATTGTAGCTTATTCAAAAATCATGGTGAAAAACACGTAGTTGGATGATGTGATCACCTGTATAGATCATCTCCTTGCTGTCCATCCTGAACATTTTGGTTTGTGCTGTTCAAATGGCATGCCACTCTGTTTCCACAGCTTGCACAATTCCTGCCTGCTGAAGCCCAAGTTGGATTTTATAAACTTCCTCAGCTTTTGGACCACTTCCTTTATTTCTGGAGACAGTACTAAAGTGCTTTCTTTTTTAAAAAAAAAAAAACTCTTTAAAAAGAGGAATGGAAAAGCAGCAGCAAAATCAATATGAAGATGGACAATAAGATCTACCATCATTCTAATTAGGTGCAGCAATACTGATTATAGTGATTTTTCTATGTATCTATGTGGCAATCTGTCAAAAAAGGGCTTCTGTGTAGTGGGTGAAACAGGTGAAATGAAACTCAGCTGGAAATTTCCTTATGCCCCACCCTGTACTGTGCCAACTTATCTATAAGCGTTTTTATTTTAGGTAATTTCCTTGTGCCCCACCTCCATACTGTACCAACTTACCTATCAACCTTTTTGTTTTGGGAGATGTGTCTAACACTGCCCCAGAATAGCTCTAGGTATGAGCTCAAAATTAGCTGAAGTGACAGCGCTGCAAGACATTTATTTTCAGTATGCTTGTTAAACTGTCAATGTAACTCTGAGAACTTCTGTGGGAGGAAAGGTGCCAGGTCCTGGATTCCCAGGCTCCCATCTCCCAACTTCATTCTACCACATTAAGAAAGCCATTAAGTGGATGCTTTTCCCAATTAGCATGTGGAAGTGGGACCCCTGCAATGCACTAATATGCTGCACAGTAAGGGTATCATCTTCTGACCTCTTTACTGAATGATAACAGAAATCAGCTGCCAAAACAGAGTAGATTATTGTATATTGACCTACTTTTGTTTTAGTAGAAGAAAGCAGATTAAAGTAGCTCCCTGGAAGAGGCCATTGTTTTAAATGGTCTCTTTTCACAGCACTGCTTTGCCTCTCATGTTTTGGGTAGAATGTGTGTACCCACCTTGTTCGCGAGGTTCCCAAAGACTAGAATTCAGAGGACAGATTCTTATTACAAATGAATCTATCTGGCTTATAGAAGCTTTGGGTTTCTAGTTATATCCAAGTTTCCACATTTTTAGATGCAAGTTTTTTGCAAGGGTTACTTTTTATGCAATTGCACGCAACAGCATCTCAGTATTTCTCCTTTTAATATTTATGATTTGGGGATATGGTATTTTTCATTGTTCTTCACTGAACACAATAAACACTTCAGAGATAGCATTTTAGAAAATAGTTTTATTCCCATGATAATGATGGGTTTGGATTATTGAAGCATTGAAGAACCAGTTGTATAATGATGAGGCAAAAATGAAATAAAATTTCTATTCTATTGATAATAACCTTTCTCTTTTGCTCCCCACTCAAATTAAGCAACAAAACAACCCAAAGAGGAGTCTAAAACCAAGAGGTACAAATAGGTTGGGGATGAAGATGATCAATCTTAATTATTTGAAAGTTCAATATCATATTCTTAAAAATATCTCCACAGCTACCCCCTTTTCACCCCAGAAACTCCTGTTTGTAAATCTTTTGGTGAAATCATTCATTAAAAATTTGGCCAAATAATTTTATCTCAAAGTACAATAAATAATATAAAATACACTCTCTTAAAATAATCTAATAATTTGATATATTCTTCTTGTTCAAATCCCATTTGTAATCCTTTTGTCTATTGCAAAGAAACAAACTCAGCTAAACAGTTAACTTGTTGGTAGAGAGTTTATGAATCTGCAACTTTTTATCTCCACTGAAGCAGCAGAAAAAATTTAAATCCATCCCAGAACAAACTTGAACATATAGATAGAGTAATAGATCTTCTATTGTCTTTCATATTCAGAATTTTGTAGGCATGGCAAGAAGGGAAAACCTAAAACTAATTTGGATTTAACAGGAATCAAAATAGCCTATTCCTATCTCTAATGTCATTTAATCAATTCGACACAAGAAGTCTGGGACTGCTGAAGTTGAAGTTCTCAGAGCAGAAAAATTAAAGCAATATATGGTGGTGTCTAATAGAAAGATTATCCATTAAAGTGCTGTGGGTGTGCAAAGCTCTGGAATAAGAGGGAGCAGCTTAAAATAAGGAATCAGATACCAATAAACCAAAGAGAACTTCAGTTTCAAGCGTAGGTAGGGAAGAATTACATAACTGGATCAAACCAATAGCAAAATTCTGGGGAGATTATCTGTTTTCTTTCCTTTTCCCTACAGCAAAAAGGACCAAAAATCAATCATTCTGCCACTAACCATGAGGTCAAATCCTATCAGGATCAGCCACCCCCAATCATTGCAAGATGTCATAAATAAAAAAAAAATGTGCCTCATTTTGCCAACCTTTGTTTCTGGTTAACAGTTATTCTTATGTTTCATTTCAATTCCTTATACTTTCTTGGTAGAGTAAGGTAGGCTGGATTTATATGCCACAATGTCCTCCCTTTTTCCTACTAGTTGAATATGCCAAAATCTTACCAGCTTTAGCAAAGAAAGATGCCAGTCCTTTTTGACTTGGAGACTTTCAGCTATCTTGAGCTATGACTCCCTGAATCCTTAGCCTTTGGCACCATATTGAAGAAGGTTGCCCAAATCCAAGGATCTGATGTCAGCCCATTTTTTATTATTTCTTCCTCCAAATACAACCAAGTTTCCGGTATCTTCCTTTCTTTAATATTTCTATAAACACTATTCTAACAGAGCCTGGGGCATATAATTTATAATCAAAGGCAGAGTAGTCTTCAGAAATGATATGCAAATGCTTCAGTACTCACAAGAGAGTAAGCACAGCACTTCTCCACTATACATCAGTCTCCCTTTTTTCAGGCTTCCATCCAAGTCTTGATGAATCTATTCATTCAAAATTAACATGACACTTAAAGCAGTGGAGCCTTTTTTTTTTCTAAGCTCACATAGAAGCCTGAAATATCTACAGGGCGGGGCATAACCTTTTCCTAGGGGGTCACAGCAAGATCGACAGCAGTTTACAACTTCCGCGACACCTCATTTTAAAGCCCATAAAAAACTGAATTGAATGAGCTATTAAATGTTAAATTTGCTTTAAGAATGGCTGGAAAATTCGATTCGGAAGAACAAAGGATCATTGACAGAATAAAATGCATTGCCTTTCGAGAGGCTCGCGATGCTGGAGCAACAACAATGTCGAATTTTGGGGCAATGACGTCTGGCCGGGAAATTCGCCAGATCTCAATCCGGCAGAGAACATTGGGGCCATAATTAAGGATGAAGTGGAAGCTCTGATGATTCAGGAGCAAGGTCAAAATCGATATTCGGTTGAAACTTTGAGAATGAATTTGGAAACTGTGTTGAAAATCTGGAAAATCGAACGGAACTGTTTGAAGATTTGTTGTGTTCTTATCTACCTCGTTTGAATGCTGTTCGAAGGGCTAATGGTGGTCATACTGACTATTAAATCGTGTCAATAAACTCAGTTTTTGATGGGCTTTCGAATGGTGTATGAATTATTTGTGTTGTTATTACAAGTGTTGCTGTGACCCCCTAGGAAAAGGTTATGCCCCGCCCTGTATAGGGGAGGGAAGGGAAACTCCTGAGATCCCTGTGTTATTTAGAAATAACAATGGTTACTTACAGTTCCATGCCACGATAATAAATCTTAGTAAAGATCAATCCTTTTAAGTGTAAGTAAGTACAGAATCTAGCTGATTTCAAGAAAAGTTAAGCAAAGTTGATTAAAACTACTTAGAGGGCAACAATAATAAATTACCTCTATATTGTTGCCAAGTAAACCACATGGATCTGTCCATGAAGTCACAATTCTTACCTGTTAAAATCCTTTTAAAGGAAGATCCTGGGGACTAGAGGCAGGAAGTAGTTTGGACCCAAAAATTTACATTCTTTAAACATTGGTCTGGGTAAGAGAGAGTCTATCACAGCGTAACTGATAATGGTATGAGCAAGCAGCTACAAATTTCCCACTATGGATATAGTTAACATGTTTTGCCTTGATGATCATCGCTGGACTTCCCTTAGATCCAGTATGTTTCTGGACCTGCACATGAGTAATTAATAGTAACAGATTAGGACTCCAACTTGACCTATCCCAATTCCTCTTATTTCTGTTTTCTCCCATGGAGGCCTATGTTTGTTTAAACTTATCTAGCACATTATCAGAAGAGGAAGACAAGCTAGTTTCCCAAGTTCTACAAGGAAAAAAAAATCCTCAGGAAGAAAGAAGCAATAGCAGGATGGGTCAACAGGCAGGCTTTCCACAAAAGAAGGCATTTCCTGCAACAAAGGCAAAGGAGAAAGCTAGCATTGCCTCCTTGTGGGCTCTAGGGAGTGAGAGAGCTGGCCTGCCTTTTATCTGCCTAATACCTCAGGCCGGGCTATCACACATGCTAGAAAGAGTTTTCCAAAATCAGTACTAAGAGCCAGACAACAATTTACAGGGATGTCAAAGACTTTCTCTCTGCCAGGCACATGGCACATACCACACGTACATGCATGCATTCTGTATGATCAGAATCTGTTCAGCATGCAAAATACGAACAGAAGGGCCCTGAGCAGAGGCACTGGAGGGCTGAAGTATTTAAGGTAGCCTTCTCCAACATGATAACTTCCAGATGTGCTGGCTGGGAATTATGCAGTTATCGCAACAGGCCTGGAGGTTGCCAAAATGGAGAAGGCTGATTTAAGGTGATTTGTGTTGTAATTCTTTTCTAGGCACTGGAAAAGATCTGGCAATGAACAAATCTTGGGAGAAAAATTGAAAGTTATCTTTTTCTCCCTTTCCCCCACAGTGGTGGGCTGGTTGCAGCACCATAAGATAGCAGGAAGAGATCTATGACAGTTTGAACTGAAAGAGGAAAGGAAGCCATCTTCCTCAAGAAGCTGTTTGGCTTTGGCTGGAGACAGGAACAAAGGACTTTAGAAGATCCAGTCTATAGTCACTGTCCACTCCAGCCATTCCCCCAACATTTGGGGTAATTTGAGGCACCAGCGGAGACCAATCTTCTCCCTGTCCTCAGAGACTCTGTCCCCACCCTTCCAGCCCTGAAGTATAAAGAAGCATTTAAGGACAGTGTGATTCTTCATGATCTTGTGGGAAAGCCCAGGCAGTGCTGCTGGCAGGGAGAGGATGTTAAAGAAGTTGTTGGCACAAATGGCAGAGGGGGGATGGAGGGAGTCCCCAGACAAGGAAGGATGTTGAGTTACAGGCCTGGTCAATAATGGTGTGGCTTTGGGGGTGCAAACACTACAGCCATCAAGCTCTTCCTGTAGGGCTGAAGGCCAATCTTTTAGGAACAGCCTCTGCCCTCAGTGGCTCTCAGCTGCCACACCCAAAGGTCTGAGTGGAAACAAGCTTCTCTCTAGGTGGATAAAAACCCACCCTTGAGGCCTTAACGGATATAAGCATCACGCCCCCAGTCTTCCATATTGTTTTGGTTATGACCTAGAACCTCCACCTCTTCCTCTTCCTGGCAGTAGCGTTCCCTCCCTTTGCCCCGCCCACGCAGAGACCGATTATGGTTTTGTCGGTCAGGCTCCTCGGCTTCCAGGGAGCCTTGGCACTGGAGGGGACGATGACCGCGGCCCTGGAAGTGATGAGGCTCAGGTTCTTCAGCCTCCCAGGCGCCTTGGCGGTGACTCAGGCAAGGAAGCTCCGGCTCCTCATAAGGGTCAGTTTCAATGTCCATGCAGGAATCCGTTGGATCGGTGTAAGCAGAATCACGACTGCCTGGCATCTCTGAATCAAAGGTGTCTTGTCGGGAAAGGCCTCGGGCAGCCAAGTGAGAAGGAGGCACCATTGAACGGATCTGGCCATGCCCCACTGGCTGCCCTGTGTAGCTGTGGAGGCCAGGATGCTCGGGGTCATGAGGCTCCTCCCCATGCACCAAATAGGGTCCCTGATTGAAAGAAGCAGATATCGCACACCATGCAAACGAACAGAAGAAAAAGATAAAACAATGTTAGTGCAGCCACCACATAGCAGCGGTAATATCCTTCAACTGGTTAGAATGAGACATTCTTGAACTCTAGTCTTGTGAATCACCCTAGATTTAAGAAAGCAGTCAGCATTTTATCTCCCCAGGCCAAGACAGACCATTTCCTTTGGCAGCATTTCCTCTTCTTTCTCCCCAAGCAGTTGAACAAGAAAATCCTCATGCATCTTAATGCCAAAGAAACTTGCAAAGAAATAAAGATGGACAATTGAGGGACTGAGAAATTAGGGGTGTCAGAAAAGAGATTTGGAACAGTAGTGCTGCTGGTTAATTATAAAGTCCAGACTTAATGGCGTAAAGTGTACTTTTAGGCAATAATGTATATTACTTCACTTACTTCAACAGAAAACATGCCATGCTGTATTTTGGCTCTCCAAGCTAGGATCTAGAATTTTGTCCCCAAATTCTTCCCTGAATGGCATCACCAGGAAAAAGGGAAATAGCTTCAGAGAAGAATGTTAGTTCTGGCATGTTGTCAGAAATTGCTGTTTAGATGTAGTTTTGGACAGGTTTTGCAGAATCAATGTGAACTAGAACAGGAATGAGAATTTTCTGGCCCTCCAATTGGATTTTTCTCACCACCACTCCTTCTTCCAGATTTGGCTATGTTTCACTCCTTGTGACAAACATACATACATGCATGCATGCATACATACATACATACATACATACATATGTACATACATACACACACACACACACGCACACACATATAGTTATTTAGGGAAAAATGAGACTTTTTAATTGTTTCTATGTTAGAAAGACTTACCATCCAGTTTGATAACCTGCAAGATTTCAGCAGATATAGCTCAAGATCAAACTGACAGCAAAATTGCTCTGCAGGTAGTCCTCAACTTACAACCACAACTGAGCCCAACATTTCTGTTAAGTGAGGCAATTGTTAAGTAAGTTTTCCCCAATTTTTAGGCCTTTCTTGCCACAGTTGCTAAATGACTCACTGCAGTTGTTCAGTTAGTAGCACAGTTGTTTCATGAATCTACTTCCCCATTGATTTTGCTCATCAGAATGTCAAAAAAGGGACTCTTGGACACTGCAACCATCATAAATATGAGGCAGTTGCCAAGTGTCTGAATTTTGATCACATACCCATGGGGAGGCTGCAACAGGTGTAAGTGTGAAAAATGGTCAAAGGTCACTTTTTTCAATGCTGTTGTAACTTCAAATGGTCACTAAATGAATTGATGTAAGTCGAGGACTACTTGTATCTAGATTTCGGTCAAGTTCTGACATAATGCCATTTATATAGATAATTAGTAGATCATTAATCTATTGAGTCTCATCATGCAGACCCATAAAAAAGCAAGGGAGGCCAATTGGGGAAAGGAACAACTTAAGGATGAGCTTCATAAATATGTTTACCACTTTCATCATATACTCAAACATCTATTTGAAACAAGGAAAGCTAAAGTTTCTGAATGATAGGAACAGATTACCTTCATTCCTGAAAAAATATTATAGTCATGGTGCAAATTCATATTTTTAACTAAAGAAAGAAACATATTAGATGAGCCTCATACCAGTTTACTAGGTGCAAAGATGAGGGTCCTAGTAAAAGTAAAAAGATAAGACATTGCATAATGTGATGTGGAGGGGCTGATTTTGACAAAATGGGGTGCTGATTCTGATAGATTAGTGTTGCCACCTTGTCTACTAATTGCTTAGGAAGCTAGAAGGGACATTGTTTTGATAAGTTGCAACAATGATTAAGTTTTTAGACAGTATATTATTTGGAGAGGCAGTAGTAGTGGGTTTTCTTAGATAATCTCACTCCACTGAAGCTTCCCCAACCTTGGTGTATTCTAGATGTGCTGAAGCTCAACACAGAGAATTTTCAGCGCACTGAAAATTCACTCAGTTAAGTTGATACCAATACATCTGAGGAGTACCAAATTGGAGAATAATAACCTTTTGTGTACAGCCCTTTCTACGTTCTCATATTCTGTTTAGGAATACAATAGGAACAAAGCATGGCAGAGGAGGTGAATGGTAGTGCAAATTGATCCAGAAAAAAATGGCAACCATGGGCACCTTTGTGGCATAGTAACCCAGCTTCTGCATTCATGTACATACATTTGCAAAAAGCTTGGTCAATTCCTGCATGGCTTGACAAGAAAGTGAAGGAAAATGAATGCCTTTATGGCTTCTATGATACCATTTTACCATGATAAAGATAACCTACAATATCTTCCCTCCATTTTACCATGATTAAGATAAACTGCAATATCAGACCCAACATTCTTAGCTCAGTAGTGTCCTGGCAAGTAATCCTTGTTAAGACAAAGGCAGGGGAAGATGTAGACACATAGGAAACCACACAAGGCCATCCTTTCAACAAAATTAGTGTAAATTTTGAAAATGTGGAAGGATCCTTAGCAGAGAGATTCATCAGAGAAGTGTAAGGCAGAGAGCAGAAGAAGAAACATAGAACGATCACTAACAGTCCTTTGAGGGCAAGTGGGAGCCTTGTTGATGGGTCTCCCTTAATTCTTCTTTCTGGAGCAACATCCCAGTTTTTCCAGAAAGCTATAATTCATGTTCTTCAACCCGGATAGCTCCACTCAGCCCCTCATCTAGGCTGCCCCTCCCACCCCAGAACCCCAGGTTGCGCTTGAGGGAGGTCAGCACTTGTACCTGGAGGTTGGAGACAGGGGCAGGGCTCGCAGCCAAGGCAGCAGTTGCCATGGTGCGGGTTAGCAATGGATTGGGTGGATTACTGCTAGGAGGATGGGTGGCCTTCCAGTAGGCTTCTAGGTACTCAGCCAGGTGTTCACAAGCATCTTCCAATTGGTTTTCATCCAGAATGATGTCAAACATTTCCTGCAGAAAAATAGGATGAAGAGTAGCAGTAAATTGGTCCAATGAGAGAAATAGAGAGATGGTGTAGGTGTGGGAAATGGGAAGGAATATCGGGAGCAGCAGTAAGCAAAGGAGGAAGTAGACAGATTTTATGAATAGAAGTCAGTGGGCTGCAGTAGTAGGTGTTTAAAAACACAATATTCTCCAATTTCCAGAGAGTAAACCTTGGGAGATGACAGGAAAGAGTTGAAGAGGAGACCTACAACGTGATCTTTATGTACCACCTAAGTTTACTTAAATCCTTCAGATATAATAAAGGATACTATCCCATTACTGTATTGAAAAATTATTCTAGTGCAAGTGCCATGACCATTGTAACAGAGAAATGGGGAACTATATATTGGTGTTTTTTACTAGTGGTAAAATAGTTTTTGGTCAGCCCTTCCTCTGTATGAACATGCTGGCCAAGCATATTAGGAATTGTAATCCATCATCACTGGAAATCACCAATAAAAAAAGACTAGGCTACACATGATACTAAGCACAGAAGAGTCATAATAACTTCCCTATTTGGCTTATTTTGTAAGCATGGGCACAGATACAGATCAAGAACTTATCTAAGGAATGGAATATCACAACAGAGGCTGAAATGTGAAGTTTGGTACTACAAAGATAAGGGCAGGGCAAAGTGATGGTGGTAAGAAGAAAGCCAAATGCTTCATTTGCATGGTGTAACTGGGATTGAAAACATAAAAGGAAGGGAGAGAATAGTTGAAGGAGTCCTGACCATTAGGCTGCTGCATCCAATGTGAGAACTTACTGGGGGACATTGTGCCAACTTGTCTGATGCCACCATTTGCACATTCAAGTGCTTGGCCTGGGATTTACCTCTAGATTTCACCAACCTTTGCAGCACCTGTTGGAGAAAGAATGGGAGAAAGATAAGTCAGGGCCCAAAAGAATGGAGACAGGATAAGAACAAACCAATTATTAAAAGAGAGGAAGATATTTCCAAGGAACTTTTGCTGTCATCCTTCTCCTGAAGGAAACCTTGCAATTGTATGAATATTTATTTATAGAGAAGAGATATTCTCCTCAGCACAGAGCCTTTATTCATCAGAGTAAATAGTCCCAGAAAAAAGATTACATTTCACATTGTAGAGATGAAGTAGCAATTTAGAGTGGATAGATTGGAGTGATAATAGAGCAATGTTTTGCCTTCTGCATCCTGTCTTCATTTCCTAGCATTTCATGTAAAAATGATTGTGTCTCTTCTTGACATCTTAAATAACTCATTTGAGCCTGAAGAGTTTCTGAATTAGTTGGGCCAGTGATCTAATTTGTCACAAGTTATTTTCTTATGTGCAGTTGCTTTGAAAAGAAGCAAACAAAAGAAGCTACACATGAATTTGTATGAACCATGTGATGTCTTTACATTTAACAGAGCGTAATTCCACTTATGCATGATCACCCTCAATTTTAAGCAAGCTATGCTCAAAATAAGATCAAGTTTTGAAAAGAGAAAACATGAAACAGAAATAGCCTGGGGTGAAAACTGGAAAACTCTTTGGTCAACAAACAAGGAAAAAATATAACTAATGAAAAGTAAGAAAATAAGGTTATGAAACATACAAAAGGTTACACATTTCTGATCATCTGAGGAATATTATATTTTTATTTTCTAAGCTGTTTAACGTCTTCCCCTTTAAGAACAGAACTTCTGCCGGAATAAATCAACAAAAGAAGTACTGTAATTCATTAGAGACAACACAGGATTTTCATGCAAATTTTCACAAATTCAATCCCTGATACCAAAAGGACTGGAAAAGATTCCTTCCTGAAATCATGGAGAACAGTGGCAGTCAATGAAAAATACTGCAAGGTAAGTGCACCACTGTTTCAGTTCCACAATTTCTGGCTTCTATGTAACTTGCACATTCTCCTCTATAATTTAGCACTAACCAGTAAACTTTTAAGATATTAAAAGTTTGTGTAAAAAGTATTTATATATCACTTATGCACTCCTTCTGAGATTAAACATTCCTATACGCTATTCTCACCTGCACATGCCCCATGAAGTACATAAGAATTTTCTAATTTCTTTTGGCACCAAGTCCCTCTATGATCACCCACCTTTCTTTCCCAAACCATGTGGAAGGTAATTTGTTAGTAGAATCAGGCTGACGAAAAAGGAAATTTGTTCACCTTTGGGGAAGATATCTTGATGTAGACAATAATAGGTGCTAATGAGGTCTTGGAGAGTTGAGCTGGATGATTAATGGTGTCTGCATCCAAGGCAACCAGTTGTAATGTTCGAGCCAATTCAAAGATGCGCTCTATCTCGCTCTGCACTTCAGCTGCCAAGGCAGAGAGCAAGCAGCAAAGAAGGAGAAGACAAGGTCAGCACTGCCATGGGAAAAAAATAGCAGCAAGATTCAACTGCCCTGTGATAGTTCTAAAACAATTTTTCTCAACCTTGTTTGCTTCTGAAGAACTGAACATTCCAATTATGGAATTCTGAGAAATGATATCAAACAAAAGGAAAGCAACAGATTTGGGAATATCTTTACTGTTCCCTTTTGTAGCATCTGTTCAATGCATGAAATGTAATCAGTTATAATTACCTCACTATTTTCACCATTATATTTAGGCACCACAGCTATAGCACGCATTATTGTGAGATTGTGGAAGATGCTGCCTTTGAAAAAAGGATACATTTATTAAATCTGCCTATTTTATAGGACAAACATTAATTATTTTCACTTCTGAGTGATCAACAGTGTCTGATCCACTGACAGTTTGATTTAAAGCCATTTCTCAAATGAGGAAAAGTAAAGTAGCTCCTAGCCACAAGAAGCAAGTTTGAAGCATAAATAAGAAAGCTAAGTTTTGATTCAAAAAGTCTGATCCAGGAAGATATTCCCCATGGCATTAATAGGAAGAATCTAGTCCTTCCTCATCGCATCTCGGGTAATTTTTAGTGGAGTTTATGCCACGTTAGGACAGTAATGTGGGAAATAATACCATGTGGAAATGCTACCTGTAGTCCATTGTGATCTCCTTGTTTTAAATGTTTCTGTTTTTGTTTATTTTTTTCTTTTAAGTTTTCAATTTAAGTCCAATTGTATGGAACTCCCAGAATTTTCCAGGCAGCATGACCATTAGTGAGAATTCTGGGAGTCAAAGTCTATAAACCTGCAGGGTACCAAAATTGGAAATGGCAAAGACAGGAAATAAATAAATAGATAAATAAATAAATTTAAATATAGAATCTGTAACCTTTTACAACCAAGTGATTTCTCTAACAGTGTTAGAGCATTAAGACTACTTACAGATATGTACCACTGAATTTAACTGGTCTTCTCCCAAGTAAATATGCATAGAGCTGCAACCAAAATATTAAGCATTGTTGCTGTCCTTATGATGGCCATGAACGTGGGGTAGGGGGACACATTCTTTTTTGGATTTGGTTTATTAAGATCTTAGGAAATGAATGAAAGTGAAAAATGAGACTGATATGACTCTGCATTTTTCACTTCCCAAACACAATTAAAAATCCAAAAAAATGTTTTAAACATTTTAGCAAGAGTGTATTTATTGTTCTGGTTTTGAACACCCTCTGCCCCATTATCTTAAATATATCTCCCATGCTGAACTTAAGCAAGTTAAATTGGCACTTGGAAGGAACACTGGAGAGCTTGTGAAGTTAAAGGTTACATACCCAAGACATCTGTATCAGGAGCACAGAAAGGAAGAGGATGCGCAGAAACAAGGGAAGGAAAATTGTGGGAAGGAGGGGGGAAAAAGAGAAGAGTGAGTCGAAGTCATTGGGAAGCAGCAGAAGATGCCTACAAGTCTGATGAGGTCACAACACGGGGAGGGATTAAAAATAGAGAAGGCTGCTGACAAACCCAACTGCTTTCTCCTTTTTCAATTGTTGTTTGAGAAGGAACATTCTTCCTCATGCACAGAAGTGTGTGTGATTTAAAATGCACCCCATTGTCCATGCTCTGCATATTTTAGGTTGCCCCACTTCCATTCCTGAATATAGATAAATTCATGTTGTTGTAGAGACCATCCCAATGCCCTGCTCAAGGATTGGGTCAAAGGGGTTCTGTTAGGGAGAGGGGGAGAAAGAAACAACACTACAAAAAAAAAAATTAAAAAATCAAGTAGCATCCAGGAAAAGATATTCTCAACTGATACAGATTAGAGTTAGACAAGGCTTAGGTACCATGCAAATGTTAGTGTAATGTGACTGACTGCCTTCTCTTCCCTCCCACGATTTCAACAACAACAACAACAACAAAAAACAATCCTGAGAATTTTTTTTAGAAGAAAAAAGATTTGAAGTTTTCTTTCAGGATCTCAACTTAGCCTTACCCAGACTTGAACGGGTACTGGAGCGCTCAATGATGGTGTGTTTGCTAGGATTGTTGAGGACTGAGCGCTTAGCCAGAGAGATATCAGCAGTCACACGTGTGATGGATATTCTGTAGAAGACACAGAGGGATGAATAGCTGAGGAAGCCAACTTCATTCGCCAGGTATTCCCATCAGATCACTAGGATGGTATTTCTGGCATTAGAACCAGAAAAATAAATCTGGTTAATAAATAATAATAAATAAATATATATATATATTCTTTCAGTTTTTATTTCAAAAAGAAATGTCTAACCTTCAGCTCCTGGAAGAAAGAAGGGAAAATGTTTTGTAGTCAGTAAAATGCAGGAAAACTTGTAGAAATTCTGGAAGGCAGAAACTCTGTACCAACCCTCCCATATCTTATGACCTCTACCTGGATTTTTTCCTGAAATCACATAGATGTGGCCATAAGATTTCCAGGTTTCCCCCAATACCTCTCTCCCCCCCCCACCCCAGGCTCTGTTCATACCTGCCATCAAATCGGCGTTTCAAGAAATCAAACAAGGCTTTCTGCATCATGTCTGTCACCTAGGAAGATAAAAGGGAAGGGGAGAAGAGGTACACAGAAGTTAGTATCCAAACGTTTGTATATTTGCAAAGTAAGATGGGTGCAAAGTTTTATGCCAGCAGTTGATAAAAAACTGTCCAGTAGACTTTGAATGTAAAACTGTTGGATATGTTGCAGTTTAATTGCCAGCTGATACAGTCTGTGTTCTCTGCATGAATGGATATCCTTATGGATTCAAAAACTAGGCCTAAAATTAAGGAGAAATTTCTTGACAGTTAAAACTATTAATCACTGGAACAACTTGCCTCCATGTGTTGTGGGTGCTCCAACCCTGGGAGTTTTAAAGAAGAGATTGGACAATCCTTTATCTGAAATGGTATAGGGTTTCATGCCTGAGCAGGGGGATGGACTAGAGGACCTCCAAGGTCCCTTCCAACTCTATTCTATTATTCTGTAACTAGGTTCGTATAGCAAAGTGTGATTTGCATAACCATGTACAACTGCATTCATATAGAGCTGAGCCATAATGCTTCCCAGAAGTATTTGGAATGGCAATTTATAAATGTGATGGATGATATATGACTGACAGACAGACAGACCCACACACGCACACACACACAGGCTGTAGTTGGATTCATGCAAAATATTACTACAAAATAAAATCCAACATTCCTCTGTAATAATTTAACTTTTTATTTTGATTGATTCTGCTCAAGAAACAGGAAGAGAGAATTATTAATCTAAATAAAAGTATTACAATTTAGTTTTCTGCTTTTTAACTGTTATAAGAATTCTCCTTAACATTTTTGTGGGGAAAGGAAAGTGTAAAACACTAAAAGTGAGTTTGGATTGATAATGTAAAGATCAGAAAAATCAATTATATCTGAAAGGAAATGAGTGTGTTTGGGCAAACAATTGATAGAAACATTCACAATCTATTCTTAACATCTGATTGACAACTTTGAAAGATCTTTTATCTTTCTATTTTAAATGAAGATTTCAAGGTTCAATAGTGTTCTACTTCCCAACCATTTATCCTGGAAAATAGTGTAGCGAGCCAGTGGGAAGAATGGGAAAATCATTTATAGAATCGTGGGTCAAAAGGGGAGCAAAGTTGAGATGAGCTACATTAAGATGAGGCATCAGCTCTCACTCAAATGCATGGAAGGAAGTTGGATTAGAGTGGCTTTTTTAGGAGTTAAGATTGTATTCAGCATTTGATGTTCCACATGAAACCATAAGTCAAAAAATGAGCAAAAATTGGATTGGGAGCACATTTGATTTCACTTCGTTTAAAGATTATATCTAATGATTTCCCAGTTCTGTTATAAATTAAACATTAAAATTAAACTTTTGGCGCTGCTCTACAGACTGCACCAAAACTTGTAAAAGCTACATACTATTCAGTGGTTTCAGGAGATGTATCTAAAATTTGAACAATGAATTGGCAGATGAAAAAGATGTATGTTGGCCCTTTGGAAATGTTTCCAGCTTCCCGGTAAAGTAACCCAACTCCTCCATATTATTTTCCCCACATCACCATTAATCCCACTCTGCACCTCACATGCTCTATGCCTCACCTCATATCCTTTCAAAGACGGGCCTACAAGAATGATTGGCCGCATAGAAGGAACTACATCATATGGTGGCACATGCTCTGTCTGAGGACAAAGAAGAATAAAATATTAGGTTTGCTCTTGATTATTAACTCATGCTTTCAGATTCTCACAATATCAATCTCTACTTTGTGGGGATCCCCAGAGCTTGGCACTCTCTCCATTCAGTTTAACATCTACATGAAGCTACTGAATGAAGTAATCTGGTGGCATGGCATAATGTATTATCAGTATGCCCATAGCTTTATATCTCTACCCTTGGCCAACTCAATAATGATATGGAGGTTCTTGGTATCTGGAGGCTCTTGAAATCTGGATGAGGAAAAATGGGCTTCAACTCAACCCTAGCAAGTAGTTCTGGGTTCAATGGTCACCAAGTCCTGAGGACTTTTCATTGCTTGTCCTGGATGAAAGCAGAACAGAAACAGTGTGCAATTTGGGAACCCTGTGGACAGGCAGCTCCTATTCAAAAAATAGATGGTGGACATAACAGAAGGTCTTTGGACCACTTGATGTTGTGCATTACAAGTGGTCCTTGATTTATGACAACAACTGAGCCCAGAATCGAAGTAATTAAATTTCTGGGAAACCTTCACCTGATGTGATATTTTATAAGCTTACTTACCGATTTTTGCTTCTGCTTGGCTATGTCCAGTGATCGCCATTAATGGTTGGGGTGGGGATAGGAATATGGGAATGGGAGAAGGGACAGGCAAGAGAAAAAACAAACAGGGCATGCGTGTTACTGACAGCTCACACTTGCAGAAGCAAAGGTAGGCACAGGAAGGAAAGGGAGAAAAAAACTAGGGCCAAGAAAAACAGGATACTGGCTGTTTTTCAGTATCAGTAAATTTATCCTTGTACCCACTAGTAGTGTGGGGAAAAATCTTCCATCAAGCATCCAGTTTGATCTCTCTTCTCCTTACTCTTCCTGCTCATGGCAGTCCATACTACCAAAGAGCAACGGAGGAGTCCTTTTGCTCCTTAAGGCAAAGAAAAACTTTATCCCTCTCCCTCTAGTTCCAGAACCCACACAAACTAGAAGTTAAACTACAAGTCCGACAATGCGATAAGATTATCATCATCATCTGTAAGGCGAGATAGCTGATATAGGGGCAAAGATGCAGGATAAGCTTTGTCATACATGCAACTCAATCTTCCAAAATTGCCAAGGAGGTGCTTTCTCAAACTATTTATACTTCCATCTGAAAAACTTTGAAAGCTATTTCTGGAGAAAGGCAGCTAGTAGAGACAGCTAAGCACCCCCTTTACTCTTCTTCATAGCAAACTATCATTTGGCTATTAATGTGACATGCAATTTAGTCTTCCAATACTTGCCAACCTGTATCTTGAATTGGTTTAACAATTAGGCTCCAGGTTATTTTCTTCCCCTCTTTCTAAGGCTCTGAATAGGCACATTTCATATTCAGAGGTATCAAAAGAAGAGAATATTTGTGTAGAACTGTACAGAATATTCAGTGTATAGAACAGAATGTATAGAACAGAATATTCATGAATATGGAATACTCCAATAGCTTTTCCTCTCCAGAGAAAAAGAACATTCATAGTGCTGAATGTGCTCAAGACCATCACCACATTCAGTGCTACAATGTTTCTCTTTATCTGGAGAGGAAAAAGTATTAGAAATTCCATATTCATGCTTATTATGGAATGGTTATGACCAACATGATGCCTTAATCCCATATCTATGTTACAGGGAACTGCAGAATTATTTCACCCATTTGCTATTAGAATGTTCTATTGATGGAATTTTCCTGGGGTGAGCAAATGGAGAATATGTTCTATTCCTATAATCAGCACAGGGAAAGCCCATCATCTTAGGGAAGAGTGAATGGGACATGTCATTTGCATAGTGAGAAAATGGTTGGAATCTTGAGTTTTCCATTTTCAAGGATTTATACGGGGGGGGGGGGATGACTGAGAAAATAATTGGATGATTGAAATATTCCTTTCTTATCCTTCGATTATTTTATTCTCATGATATATAAAGCAGGGGTGGGGGACAGGTTAAAGGACACATAATCTGTTGGATCCATCTTGCAATATGGTCCACACATGAGTATGAACTAGCTGCCAATGCATCTTTTAGCTCATACACATGAAAAATAGGTGTGATCACTGGAACATATCATTCTTACAAGACATATATTCACGTTTCAAATGTTATGAACAGAACCTCTGCTTTTTTGCTGTCTAAGAGATTGTGCATTTAATATGTTTGACTTACTGTTTGAAAGCCATCACCATATTCATTCCTTTAACTTTTGCTCAGTATTGCCAGTGGATAATCAGTGATAAGATAAGCTCCCCGACATGCTTTGGTCACCTCTATCCTAGTCTCACAAGGACTTGACCTTGACAAAAACAGCCTATACACACAGGCAGGCATCTTATCAGGACATAGCAAGCAGGTGCAAGTAAAGAGAGGCACCATTACCTTCTTAAAGAAGGGGATGCGCTTGGTGGTAGAGGGAGGTGTGGTGACACTGCTAACACTAGTTTTAGGGGTGCGCTGGCTCTCGTCGACTCCTGCCTCTTCCTCCTCCTCTAAATCAAGGGCATCTGGGTCATAAGCTAAATTAGTCAGTTCCAAGGTACCTGGGACAAGGATGAGGTGAAAAGGTATGAGAGGTTGGGAGGGGCGGGGGAAGAGAGAAAGAAAAAAGGCACCAAAGAACAATAACAAAACTGAGAAAAACTGAAAAATAGTAGAAGGTAAAATAAACGAAAAGGAAAGACAAAATAAAGTAAAATAAAATAATCTAGAGAATGCAAGGAAGAGAAAATGGGGTAGAAATTCCAGCTTCCATAATATGTTGTCCCCTGACAGTGGCTTAAACACGACAGGGTCTTCATAAGCAATGACTTATAGGGAGGAAGTCCTGAAGAGGCAGGGCGACCTATACTATTTCAGACAAGGCAAGGGCAATTGCAATTTTTTGTTACTTGCAAATGCAATTTTTTTATTGTTAATAGAGAGAAAAAGAATACCTAGCATCCTAGAAAGTAGGATGGGCTAGAATATATTTGAAATGTATGTTATTGACTAGCATAAAAGCTTTTGGGCAGAAGGAGAGAGATAAATGTGGGGAATATTCGAATATAGAATACCCATGGAATCTCATTTTGCTGAATGCCTGAATTCACCCATAAAGAGTCGGGTCATCCTGATGCTTCAGACTTTTCTCATTCTCAGTAAGAAGAGATGCAGGATTCTTCAGCTAGGATAAAAGTAGAAAAACAGTGAGAGCTATTGTGTCTGGGAAGGAGAGGCCTTACCACTAGCAGGTGGGGTGGGTCTCCGGGGACCTGTCACCACATCTCCCAGGCTGGAAGTGGAGTTGTCTCCTGATTTACTACAAGAGCAAAAACAAAAACAAACTATTAAAATAAGATATGGAAAGACAAGATTTTGGAAAAATCAGCTGTGGCATAGGAGAATCATCATAAGATCCAAGCTTGGCAACTTTTCTCAGTAGAAAATTAACTTCTTCATTCAGTTAAATTTTTGGAAATACATTGCTGCAGGATAACATTACTTAATTGGCTATTTATATCACCTGATAAGTTTCCCTTAGAAAACTACTACTTGCAACACAAGCTCATCGGGTTTCTGTCTTTTAAGTATATTCTGAAGTTAAGTGGCTCTCTAAATCTAATAAATGATAATATTTTTACGAAATTTAAGGCATATTTTGAGTATAGATATAAAACATTTGGTAACCATATTAAGCTTCCAAGAAAGTTGTTGCCCTAATCATTAAAGTTTGCAGATTGCTAAAAATTCTTCATTACAAAAAGGACTTGCAGGAAAATGAACCCACTAATTAAACTATTAGGAGTCATGAGAATTAAATCAATTTGAAATTAATGTAAGCTGCTTTTATACACATTGTAAGGAGATATTATCTTTTGTATATATTTAAGAAAGGGGTTAGATCACGTGAAAGATTCTGCAGTGTCTCTCAAGTTGTGTTATGGTTGCTGGATATTTTTACTGTTTTAACTTTGGTTGTGAGCCATGCAGAATTACAGCACATATGATGGGCAGCCAAAGAATGGTTGAATGAATGTCGAAGGGATTTTAAGATCCACAATGTACAATGAAGGTTAATGAGGCTAAAGATTAATGAGGTGCGAGGTGCATGACAATTTTATTTCAGTTTCATTTAGATGCAGTTTCCTGAAATACTTGATGGTAGAAGGAAAGATGAAATTGACACCAACCTTGTACTCTAAAATAGTGATTGACAACATTTGCAGGCACCAGGTGCAACTATACAGTTTTGCATAATGACATGGGTAATGAAACAATTTTTCAAAAATGGCCCCACACATGAGATTTTAGCAGACTCAGCTGCAAGATCTTGTTTAATTTCATTTGAGAATGAGTAAATCTCATAAGAATACTATATTTAATGAGATTTACTCCTCAGATGATATTGGTTATCAGTGATGCCCAGAAGAGAAGAGATTTAACAAAGGGGGGGGGGGCAACAAGGCAGTTAGACGAGCATACATACATTGATCTTGCATGCATACATTGATCTTGCATGCTTCTAAAAAAAGGTGAATTTGACTCCACTGTCTTGATTGCTCTCTTGCCTCTTTTGATCCCTCCCTAAAAATGCCATTATTGAAAAAAAAAATTAAAAAGCATTTCCTTTTTTGGGGTTTTTTTGCAGCTGCTACTCAGAGACGATCCAATTCCTTTTTTTTACCCTGTTCTAAGATTATATAAATTATCTTTTTCTTTAAACTGTATGTGTCAATGTAGATTTTAAAATATGATTTAAAGAAATTTATTTCAGTTTAAACCCGTTTTCCTCAGTTACTCTCCAACATCCTGGGTCAACCTGCCACTAGGACATGGGAGGCCATTTAAAGGGAAACCTAGATGTCTCATTGATGCAGAATATTTGCTTGTCCACCTTAGTAGATAGCTAAATGGGACTTTCTTATGGCCAAAACAAAGGTAGTGTAGCCTCTTTCTTGCCCTCAGTAGTTTTCTTTTCCACTGTATTCTTCATTTCTGTTTTGTTAAAATTGATTGTTCAAAAATATTTACATCATTTATTCAATTATGCAGTTATCCAAATTATATAAATTGACACAAATGACATCATATGAATAATTTCATGTTTATATGATGGGTTGGTGTTGGAGTAATAGGTCTTGTGCTATGATTTCAGTGCATATATAACTTGCCCATAGTCACTTGGTGAGGTGGGCAATATAGAAATTTGCTAAATAAATTACTACCACATTCATGAATAATGTATATTTTCCCCTCTTTTTACTTCATTAAAACTTTTTACAGTATCCTGATTTTCAGGAACAATAAAATAACTAAATTCTTCAAAGGTCAACTATTGTAAGGTCACCTTTCACATTTGTTTCTATATATCTGCTCAACTAATCCTCAAACAAATCTCTCTATTGCAGTTTTACAAATCTAACAACTTTAACATGTGCGGAAGCAAATATAGGTGTCCCAGGTTAATGTTGCAGGATCCAATATGGGTCAGTCAGCAGGACCAGAGGTTTAGTCTTCTGAGCTTTCAGACCCATACTGGAGCCCATCCTCAAGCAACGTCTCTCACACAGAAGGTGTCACACACAATGTGGTGAGAGAGGAGCCCCCTGAGGATGAGTTCCAGCACAAGTCTGAAAGCTTGGAAGACTAAATCTCTGGTCCCCGTGACCGAACCAGGTTGGATCCGACAAAATGTATGGATGTGCCTAAGGAATTCTGGAAGTTCAAGTGCACACACCTTAAAATTGTCAAGTTTGAAAAACACTGATACATGACATGTGTCTGACTGTGGCATCTGTAATACTTTGTTCTCCAAAACCTTTGTCAGGCAATTTGAAATTAGTCTTGTCTACAGATGGAAAAATCTAAAAGTTCAAGTAGCTCATACTCACCTGCAAGAGTAAATAATATGATAAATCAACTAAGATTGTCTCGGCCTTATCTCATTGCTATTTTTTAACCCCAATTCTGAATTCACATGCTTGTGTATATAATCTGCAGTTATAATGATAAAAATCACCTCTGTATTAAGCTAAACCAAGTACCCTTCCAATCTCGTGCTTTCCCACACGATTAGAAGCAGGTAATAGAACAGGTAGAAAAACACTAGTAAAATTCCCGACCTTAATACCTTGAAAAAATTATTCCATTTTAGAATTCTGAATGTCTGGATCCAACCCCGGAGTTCTCTCTTGATGTGAGTTTAGAGGAGGAGAGTGAGTTTGAGTCGGCAGAGGAAAGCCCAGAGCTGAGTGTTAGCTGAGTGTCAGGATTGGGGCTCGGAGAATGCTAGCCTAATGGAGCAGCCTCAGCTATGTCAATCAGATTTGTGACAGGCTAGCTGAGCAAGCCAAGCCACAGTTGCAGCAAGTTGGTCGGGAAGCTCCAAGTGAGGACTGGAAGCAGCTAGTAACCCTTACCAATGAGAAGGGGGTGGAGCAGGGGTGGGTTACTGCCAGAATTACTGCTGGTTCAGCGTGCAATCACTGCCGGTTCGGCAGGTGTGCACATTGGTTCCACCACAAAACCGCGTTCGACTAAAGGGCGCTCGACGAAACCGCGCAGCTGATGTCATCACAGCACGACAACAGCACGGAGAAAAAAGCACGCTGTAAACGCTAAACCTAAAATTAACCCCTAAACCTAAACCTAACCCCCCTAAACCTAACCCTTAACCTAACCCTAAACCTAACCCTAAACCTAACCCTTAACCTAACCCTAAACCTAATCCTAACCCTTAACCTAACCCTAAACCTAACCCTTAACCTAACCCTAAACCTAACCCTAAACCTAACCCTTACCTTAAGTTGAATCGGCTTGCTTTCAAAGCGCTATTTAAAGCGCCCTTCTTTCTCTGCGCTGGCTGTTGTCGCCCTGTTGATGACGTCAGCGACGCGATTTAATCGGGCGCGGCTTAGTCGAGCGCGGTTTTGACGGGTCACGATTCCATCTAAGAGGGGAGGAGTGTTAGATACTAGCTTCAGTTACAGTGGTCTCCACCAAGGTCCTCTGTTCCAGTGGGAACAGGGGTTTAATCTCATTGGTTGAAGGGTCTGACAGCTTCCTATAAAAGGGCTGAGGTCAGACTCAACCTTTGCTGGATTGTTCTCACTTGTTGTATTTAATAAACAGCTGTTGTTACCGTTAGCCTGTGTGTGCCTATCCATTACCTGATCTAACAACTACATTTACAGAGTCAGAGTTTACATGTCATAGTTTTATACCAGTTTTCTTACTATTTCTTTCATTTACTTTACAGGTAGTCCTTGACTTATAGCTACAATTGAGCCCAAAATTTATGTTGCTAAGTGAGAAATTTAATGAGTTTTGCAACTTTTCTTGCCACTGTTCTTAAGTGAACCACTGCTGTTAAATTAATCACACGGTTGTTAAATGAAGAGCCAAGGTGGCGCAGTGGTTAAATGCAGCACTGCAGGGTACTGCTAGATCAGCAGTTCAGCGGTTCAAATCCCACC